CTGGCGGCCAGGTTTTCGCTGACCTCGTTTTCAAGCGCAGCCCGAATTAGCTGGTCACTCTCATGGCCAATTTATCAACGCCATGAAGTGGCTGTTCAATTAGCTGCTGGGCGTCGTCGCCGCAGTCCGTGTCGGACGCAGCTCTCGTGGAGAGGACGAGAGGCTGGACCGAGAGACGCGGGCCTGTCTCGCCACAGCTGCGCGCCTGAAACCGGGGACTGGTGGCGCGCCTTACGCCAGAGCCGCAGTTTATTTACGTTTGACGGAACAGAAGATGAAAACTTGGGCGCATTCCGTTATGCTTTGAGGTGCGCGGCGTAAACTCTGGGCTGAAAGCGTCCCTGAAATGAGCGAGCAGCAAGCTGTGAAGCAGCGGAAGGGGTTGCCAGTTCCGCGGGAACCGTGGCCGCCAAATGCAAACGATTCGTGGATTTTCTAGGTCATAGGCGGCGGCGTAGCCAGGATTTTTCTCCTGAGTCGGCCAAAACAGGGCACAAAGAGCCCTCTGTGCCAGGGAACACCCATTTCTGTTGCTTCAGGGGCCCTGCCTTTAATTCGGAGAGCCTTTTTAAGCTTGGGATTCTATTTTGAAGCGCCAGGGCCATTTTGTGTGTTACGATTCCTTCTGGCGCCTTAAGCGGCCTACAAATTGGTAGGACCTTTGGCTCCACAGGGTCCCTGTCACCCCCAGCGGGGTGGAGATATCTTCCTTCGGCTACGCCACTGGTTGTAGGATTTTCCGGATTAACTGATGCGAGATACCTCAGTCAAACCAGGCCTATCGTCTGCCTGCACCCTCTCTTAGATGCCCAGTGGTGGCTTGTTTAAAACCAAGTTGATCTGGTCAGAATCGTCTTCGCGAAAATCTCCTCCAATGAATCTCCTCAAATGCTCCAAGTAATCTTGCCTGACTTGACTCTGGCGATCCCGAAAGGGCTGGGCGGAGGTGGAGGCGAACTTAGGCCGCCCAAAAGTCATTACTTCTTGCGTTTAGAATATATCCTGAAGCAATAAGTACGTGAGAGCCCTCTTCGCTCCGCTCAGACGAGGGATCCCCTGCGATGCATTCGAGCATGTTCTTTCCCCGCTCATTTGAGCGTTCTTAAGAGCATTCCGGCGACTTAAAACCGCTTTCGGTGGCTTTAGCTCGCCCCCGTTCCTCGCACGTGCGGATGGAGCCCTGACAGCCTTCACATCAGGGAACCGTTCAGAGCGAAAGGACCGGTAAGAAATGCAGCGTCCTTGTGGTTTTGGTACGCAAACGGATGATGAGCTATTTGCACAACAGCTAATTTGTGTGGCCTGTCTAAAAATAAAGTGGTACGAAGACTGCATTGGGTTCCACTTGAAGCACCGGAAGTTCCCGGAAATGCCGCTTCGCCACATCGTTCATCGTCGGGTGATAGAATCGTCGTTGTCACGACCTAGCGGTGAAGAATCAAACCCGGAAAAGCTCAGACTTTGCGAGCTGTCGTCGCTTACGTGGCACAGTGCAGTCGTGATTCATCGAACCCGGGAACAGCTCATTTCGTCGCTTCTGCCTGAAGGTCGCGTGACACCACAGTCCCGGTGCTGTTCTGTCTCCCTGTGGCCAATTGAGTCCGCTGTAACCTCTGTTAATTGAGTCCGCTGTAACCTCTGTTGGCCATGGAGCGCCGCAACAGGCGCTTAGGCATCGTCTCTGGGGTGGGGCGGCACTTCTCGCAAAATGCATAGCTGATTTAGGAAGATATTAACACTGGTTTTGACATCTTGAGACGATCCTTTCCATGCATCGCCAAAGGCCTAATGCTACTTAAAATATTGTATTCATCATATCTCCATTCATGTGTCCAGAGTGATCCCGCCACACGCCTGTTTCGGCGACACTGCCAAATGTTGACCCCTTCTCCTCCTTGAGAGTATTGGTGCCATCATTGGGTGCCATCTCGGCAAAGACCACTGTCTCCACCCCAAGACAACATCCGGAGAAGGCTCCTCGACCCTTTTTTCCAGGAGACAACTCCGTGGTGCAGGAGGTTATGTGGCCCCCGCAGAAAGGCCTCGTCTCCGCAGAACTCGCTACGGCGCAGTATCGCTGGGGTTTTATTCTGTGTCAGTTTCGGCGACCAGGTCTGACCGCGTTGCAGGCGCTGGATTGAGTCTTGTCACGTGTCGTCAGCGAACGACACGTCGACCCGTGTATTGAAACGGCACCAAAGTCGTCCATTCGGGATCTAGGTCGCAGGGCTCGATAAGCCTCATGGCTTTGACGCGGATTGATTTATACCCGCGCGAGCGATGTGTGTGCGTGGCACTTGATATGTTCGGTGTGTACGCCTCGACGAGCTGGGCACTATTCTAGGCTGCTTTAGCGTATAACGTCGTAGTTTCCGGCGATGACGTTTACCTAAGGTCTCGTTCATAAAGCTCACTGTTGGATCACAAAATAACGATTAAGTTTAATGGAACCATAGGTCACCACTTTTTGACTGCTGGGCAAATTAAATGGCTACCTGCCACTGGGCTAATGGCGAAGGCAGATTACGTAACGTCAGGGCTGAGTCGCTTCAAAATGTGCACGCGAATGTCTATATTCTTGTAGTACTTATCCATGCTTATAGCACTTTCGGTTTAACTGGAAACACCAACTCTAAATCACACAACAAGCGCATATGGCCTGGCCCAAAGCCACAAGCTTTCTGCTGGGTTATGCATCAAAAGTGTTGCGCTCTTCCGGGTCAGACGTTTTGCGGGTCTCACGAAAGAGTCATGAATCTTGCCCCAAAGAAATACATTGAAGTAACATCATATTCCCCTCTGAAATGGTAACTGGTGCCTATTGATGATTTTGAAGCTCATTTTAAAGCAAACAAAAGTTGAGCCACATTTTTAAAGCAAAAATGTTGGAATAAGATCCAATGACAATACAAAATGGCAACTTGGAAAAACTGAAACAGCGCGTACCAGCCCTTTCCGAGTGACCCACTTCACGTCAAAGCTTCGTTTAGGAGCACAGCTGTGCTCGGATGGTTCCAACTGCGCTGTTTGCAGTCCCGCGTATTTTCGCACGGTGCAGTGTTCATCCCCGGTGGCAGCCGTTCCGGCCGAGCGGTCCGGGCTCGTTCAACAGGTGGGCGATGTGGTGGGCGATCTGTCCAGCAGCGCTGCAGCTGGACAGGTCGGTGCCACGCCAGCCGGATGATCGAAGCGGCGCTTTGTTTAGATGGTACGAATGAGCCCCTACTGAGATCGTGGGCAGCCCAAGGGCCAATGGGGGAGATATGCCGTGTGTCTGGAAACAAGACTTCAGCCAAACGACGGCGTGTTCGTTCAATCCCGGAGTCAGGAGGCTGAACGAAAAGTAAAATGAGAGGGCACGGAAAGGGCTGAAGAGGGAAGAAACAAAACATAGTGAATAAGGGGACCGAAGGAAAACAAGAGAAGCTACATCGAAACGCGATGCGATCGGCGCCATTCGTCAGGGATTGGAAAGTAAGTGGCGCGTGGAAATTAGATTGCATCGATGATGACAGACCAAACATCATGGCTATTCCGCTGTTTGCACAGGCGGCAACCACATGGCATGCCTAGGTTGTTGCATGCAATGTGAGCTGTTTGCAGCCGCGGCAAATTGGGATAGAATAGAAGGGGCAATTGCCGAGTTGTCTGGAAAATTTGACCGTAGCCATGTTCTTTTTGCAGACAGCGTGGTTGACGTGTCCCGAAGCGACAAGAATTGGGTCGTTCCACATATCTAGGATAAAACGGCAGATTGCAGTTTATTTCGCCGTAAAAGCTTTCAAAAGCCACGGATCAAATTCAACTGGACAAAAAGCAAACACCACAGATGGGTTGTAACTCGTAAGTCGTAACCGGTTTCATGCACGTTACGTTTCACATTGTCTGTGAGAATAACGGAAATGTGGCAGATTAATACAGCTTATACTAAACAGCATATCTGATGTGGCAGATGGGACAGGATTTGATATGAAACTTGTACAAAGGCAGATCGCTTGTTAGATCGCACTTAAGCTGGTGCATCGAAATCAGCTCAAATCCGAATATGCAACCCGTTAAGACTCTAGCTGATCACACGGGGTTACATGAGAAGAACAAGGAAAAATGGTATAACTCTAAACCCAGAACACGCGCTGCAGCTTTTTGTCTGCTGAAGACGGGATGCTCTGATGTGGGCGACTGTTGCGGTGGGATGCTTTAAGAGCGGTACATTGCATGGCAATGCAATGCAATTGCCTTGCAAATACTGTGCTATTCTGGATCGCACTACTTGGCTGCGTATGGGATCTAGAGGCAGTTGCTATGGCGTCGTCAAACTGCACAGCGTTTAATCGATGCTTCTTCGAAACGAGCTTTTCGAACTTGGTCAGAGGTATTTACAGGCAGCCTATCGTTGCCGATTGATCTCAGCGACGCCGGGTGGCCCTGCGAATGATACTATGCATGAGGCACTACTATGGTGTTGACTGAGGTTGAGACAGCGTCTGCCGCATCTACACTGCGTATGTATCTTCTCTACCTGCTCAGACCAGCCCCAGAAACACCCAGACCTACGCCAGTCTACAATCTGCGAGGCGATCAGATAAGCCGCCTCAACAACAGTGACGGACAATCCCCGGCACCACCGTCACATCCGTGTGATTGCCGGACTCGTATGTCCGGCTGCGGCCCTGTCTGTGTGTGTCGACGGACGCCGAATCGGGCGATGACGCCGAGTCTGCGCCACCCCGGCAGCCGGCCGGCCGCCGGGCGCCTCAGTTCCGCTCGGCGCGCCGTCCGGAGAGCGCGTGTCCGGGTACCGATCACCAGTCGCCCCCGCCGCGGCCTACAAACCGGTGCCGCGGCTGTGCGATCCCCGTTCGCCGCAGCGTCGGCAGCGGGCGCGTTCGAAGTCCGCTGACCTGCCGCGAACCCGCGCGCGCTCGCTCACCTCTGACCCGAGCTGGCGCCGCGCCGCCCGAGGCGTCGGTGACCCCTGACCCGCGCGCGCGCCGGGGACGATGCTGGGCGCCGCGAACGGTCCCGTGGCGGTGCTGTCCACCGCGCTGCACGTCGACAGCGGCACCAGCAGCGACGACGACGACGGCCTGCATGACTGGGCGCGGGACATGGTGAAGGGCGTCTGCTGCATGGTGGCCGTGCTCGGCGGCGTGGGGAACCTCCTCACGCTCACGGCCGTGCCCTACGCCAGCCGCTGTTGCCGCGCGCCGCGCGAGGTCAAACGACTGCGCTACAGCACCGCCACCGTCTTCATCCTGAACCTGGCGGTGGCGGACCTGTTGTACTGCCTGGTGAACCTGCCGCTCTACTATTTGCAGTACAGCCGGCCGAGCTTGTGGCGAGACCCGGCCCACGGCTTCGCCTGCCCCCTGGCTGGCGTGCTGCGCTACACCAACGCCGCCGCAGACTGGATGTCGCTGGCCGGCATCGCCTTCAACAGGTATGTCAGCCAGGCCACTGTCGTCTTCTGCAGGCAGGGCATCATGCCGCGATACGGTTTCGACTCTGGGGAGCCACCAGCGGGCCTGTCAGGCGGTCAGCTACGGCGCGGCCCTCAGGCTGGGTGACGGTGGCGATGACCACCGGCCGCGTGGAACAGTTTAACGGCCCCTCGGGCCGTGCCACCTTGTATAATGAATCAGAAACAGAAGCGACCATCTAGTTCGCTGTGATAGGTAGCGCGTGTTGCTCGAGAGCCGCCGGTGTCTAAAGCAGCGTCTTGGGTTGGATTTGGTCTGGCTGATGATGTGTGGCCTTCATGCGTGCGGACGTTGGTGGGGTAAAACCGGCGCTGCGATGACAGCTTCAAAGAAAACCGCTTAGCATCATTCATTCCTACTTTCAACGGCGCCGTCACTCCTTTGAAGATGAATGATCGTTTGTGCGGGCTTTGAGAGGGTGACATGAGATATATTAACGCATGACAGTTTTGTCGGTTGGGTACTCACCGACAGATGGTAGTTAGTAAGTGGGTTTCCGCCACATTAAATAAGCCACGCCGCTCTGATCCTGTGCTTACACACTGCCGCTGGGCACAGTCGACTCTCCTGCCTGACCCTACTTAGCTGACGCACTGTTATTTGCCACGAGCTTCGAGCGCATCCGTTTGCACCAACTTGCCAACCACTTTGACATTGATTGTTGCTGACCAGTTCACCTGCAACATAGGATCCCATCGCAGATTCTTCCGAACAGGCACTTGTGCTTGCACTCCATGCTTTTCACCGAAGATTAGCAAATTTTATGTTTGTAAATGCCCCATATTAATGCCATGATGTGTTTATGTCGACAACCATCCTGAGTCAAGACAAGGTGATACTAGCTGTGAAATTTCTTTAATGCTTCATCTATGTACCATCAAACCGTTTAGTAAGTGATTTCCATTGTTCTCAAAGCAAACAAAATTGTTTTGTCGGAAAAAAGCAATAGGGTGTGTATGTAGAGCTCATTCACGCAACCCGCGTACATACGAGCTAGGCTGAATCATGGAATGTACTATACTGTGGGCTAAAGCGTGTACACGTACGGGTAGCCAACAGCTTGAGCCGTCTGTCAGCCGCGAATGAGACACGCAAGGCTGTGAGTTATCGCAGAAGTTTAGCAGTTGGCCGTTTAACTTTGGAAAGTGAGCATTGAAGAGAACATGGCCATTTCAATTGGATTTTAAACTCGAATAACTAGATCGCACTTGGCAGTTGGACGAAGTTATGGCATAACTGGTTCCTAGAACTCTCCTTTCAAGCAGCCAGAATGACAATTTGGCTCTGAACTATGAAAATGCAGATCGCCAGGATGCGTAACGTTACTAGCAAAAGCGATGCCGTGACATTACGAATATGATAGGTCAAATGCTTCTGAAATACGGAGGAAACTTCTATTGAATAGTGGAGAGTTCATACTGTCATGTTGCAAGATGAGGCGATTTGAAAAATTTTACGAACTATATGGTTCGGAATTGCAAAATGTCAAAATGATTGTTGGTTCCTGTGAATCCTTACTATCTGACATGTGGTTCGTTCAATGAAGTAACAGTTGATAGACCAGGCCAGTCGTTGTGCAAATAACTTCATGATAACTGCTCTACAACATATTGACTGTCTGCACTCATGTTGATGATATCTCGAGCAATGTCTCAAGGAATGCTGCATAGTTGTGTGTTCACATCAAACCAGATTAAATCAAGACATATCCTTGCAACTTAAACTCTTCAAACTGGATGCATGTTAACGTGATCCAAGGCCAATTTTTTAAAAAACTCTTTCCGGTCTAGAAAAGAAGCATCAATCACCTGGCCTTTCTGCCGGGTCCCTCATTGTATATCTTAAGCCAAAATAAACCAGCAATAAATTCCGAACCCCTGCTTTTGTGTCGAAGAGTGCAGCCATCCACAAAAGACATCGATCTCACAGCTGTTTTCCGCCGGTCCGGCGACAAAAACAGCAACAATCGAGTCTGCTGCAGCCTTGTGTTTGTCCACTGGTCCCGAGCTGGGAGCAGCAGCCCCCAATGCCCGAACCGGCGCTGTGACCGTCAGCTTTGTGCCCTACGCTGTTGACCGTCTGCTGTTTACTGAGCAAATGCTCTTACGTGGTATCGTAAACTTCGTTTGGGGAGGGCTTCGAAGCTAGCCGAGCGGCTGTCCAAAGAGAGGCGCCGGTCTCAGTGCACCTCGCATGCCAAGGCTGCCATCTGAGCGGTTTTCCGAGCGCATTAGCTCCGGGCGGGCGGACAGAAGATATGACGTCACCGAATCACACTGGACACAAGGCGCCGTGACGCTACCGAACCCCACCGAATACACGGCGCTGTGACGTCACCAAACCTCACCGAACACACGGCACCGTGACGCCACTATATTCCAACGAGCACACGGTGCTGTGACGTCACTGAACCCCATAGAGTACACGGCGCTGTGACGTCACCAAACCCCACTGAACACACGGCGCTGTGACGTCAACAAACCTCACCGAACACACGGCGCTGTGATGTCACCAAACCCCATAGAACATATGGTGCTGTGACGTCACCGAACCCACCGAACCCACGGTGCTGTGACGTCACCGAGCCCCACCGAACACACAGCGCTACTGCTGACCTATCAGCAGCTAAGCTCGGGACCAGGTCTGCCTCAATTATCAAAGCTATCGTGGCTGTCTTAGGCTTGGTGTCCTTGGGTGCGATATCATATAAACCTTACTTTATATTCGAAGCTGATTCGCCTCTTACATTGATCGCTTTTGATACCCGTGTAGTGAACGGTTCATAAGAGTTAAGTAGGTCAAAGAGGTAAGATAATAGATAATCTGATGCGGAGCCTCGCATCAGATCAAAGGCTGCTATCGCATAATTGATGGTGCCTCCTCTTCCCATGCCACGCCATCTAATGTTATTTTATTTTAATTCAGTCGCAATGCTGACTCCGCCGGAGCTGGGGCGGTTCTCTCTGTCCCGTGAGATGCAAGGTGACAAGGTTATGGATGGCCATTTACCAGGTAACAACAATCATACTCGCTAGTAGCACGTTATGGCTCAACAGCCATGGGCACCAAATAACCTCAAGCGCACTACTCCCAATGAATATACCTATCGACGCCTTCTTGGCCGGAGTTCACCCACGGCCCTCATTTCCTTTTATCGCCAGGTTACGGGTCTCATGGGCTCTCACCCAGTTGCATAGATGAATATTGAGTTCTCTCGGCATCAGGTTGACGACCGTCGAAGGCTGCCGGTGACATGACCTCAAAGTCAGGGTGTCCTAACAGCCTGTTTGGCCCACTTCCATATGCCTTCGTTTCAAAGCTGCACATGACCTGGATGCGCATTTTGCCGGCACCCCAGCGAAATGCCCGGCCATTCCTGGCCAGAAGGGCCACGTCTATGGCTGGACATTTTGAGGTGATGAAGTTGATTGTGCTTGGAGGCAGAATGCCACGTGCAGTTAGTGTGGACACAACTAGGGTAAGGAAAGTGTGGTGATATGCACGTTAAACCTAACGTTAAAGAGAACGTGACGTTAGAGGGCAGGACGGACCGCATCGAGCAGTGCAGCACGTTTAAGGGCATGTTCCACGTTTGTATGGGCCTTGAACTGGAATAACCATTTTGATGATCATTCGGCGCTGTTGATGGCCCTGTCCTTCCTGAGACCTAACATCCTCTAGTTTCCGGGCTACACGACCGCGAAAAGGTGCAGACAATTTCGTGCATGTTATTTCAAGGCCATTCAGGCGTGCATGACGTCATAGCAACGCCATTAAAATCCTGTCATCCCACCTCAAAGGCCATGCGGCGCTCAAGGCCAGGAAAAATACTATCGTTGAGCTGTTCAGATAGCGGCTTCCGTGAGCACGATTTCCGGATATAGTGGACGTCAGTTGGCTCGCAACTTAAGTCAACGTCAGTTGGCTTGTAGTCAAACAACGTATGAAAAGCGCCATAACCGGGTGCGTGTATGCAGAAAACATTTTAAACTCACGGGTAAATGTGGGAGAACACCACGGGAAAAGAACAAAACACGAGCAGCTAACAAGTTCAGCGCAGCGAAAACTTTCAGCATCATCCCCGTCATCTCTCGGTGAGTTTGAATTACTACAAGTGGGCGCTAGGGTGGCAATTTCGCACGGCCAGTTTGACGGCACGTCAGCGTTATGCAAACGTTCTGTGACGCAATAAACAACGACGCATTCAGGTGCAATGCACTGAGAGGGAAATTTTGTTGTCTAGAGCAGCCTTTTCCACTTCAGGTACACCAAAAGTTACAAGTGAGCTTGTTTCATCATTTCTGATGCTTACTTCCGTGTCTGGAAATGTGGAGCATACCCTTAAAACTTTTCAAGCTAACTTCTGTTGTTCATCCGGATTTTAACGGTCTGGTGCTGGAGGCAGGGTTGAAGCAACGGACGCTATTAAGCGTGGACGCTGATCACAAGTATGCATCCAATTAAAAGGCTTGGACCAAATATTTGAAAGCGTTGTTCTCGACGAGGCGGATCTCGATTTGAAACCCCATCACTGAGCCTATCCCTGCCTCCTGCCCCACGCCCGCATCACAGTATGCATAATATCTGACCCTTAAGACAGCACGAACAAATTTTGGCAATTTCTACATTGCTATTGTTGTATCTCCGAATATGCTTGGGTCAGGTCATGAATATTGCAAGGGATAATCCTCTCTTAAATACATCGGTGCCGCAAAATGCAGTTGAGGATTAGGCAGATGTTTTCATAATAAAACATGAAGGTCTCATAAGGTCATCAGCCCTGATTAAAGTGTTTATCTTGTGGCCCCACCCTGACACTGAATTGTATTCAGGGCATCGAATATGCTTTCGGCGATGCAATGCGAGTTGAATTTTGCGATGAATCCTCCAGACCAGCGAGACGCTGCCAGTTATATGCTCAGCAGCCGTGCCAGAACAGGGTGTCAGTTTGAGAGTACAG